GCAAGACACATGAAAGTCCGCATGGAGTTTGCTAAAAAACACCTGAAGGACTCCAAGATGGTGAGAAATAAGATTCTCTGGTCTGATGAGACCAAGATAGAACTTTTTGGCCTTAATTCTAAGCGGTATGTGTGGAGAAAACCAGGCACTGCTCATCACCTGTCCAATACAGTCCCAACAGTGAAGCATGGTGGTGGCAGCATCATGCTATGGGGGTGTTTTTCAGCTGCAGGGACAGGACGACTGGTTGCAATCGAGGGAAGGATGAATGTGGCCAAGTACAGGGATATCCTGGACGAAAACCTTCTCCAGAGTGCTCAGGACCTCAGGCTGGGCCGAAGGTTCACCTTCCAACAAGACAATGACCCTAAGCACACAGCTAAAATAACGAAGGAGCGGCTTCACAATAACTCCGTGACTGTTCTTGAATGGTCCAGCCAGAGCCCTGACTTAAACCCAATTGAGCATCTCTGGAGAGACCTGAAAATGGCTGTCCACCAATGTTTACCATCCAACCTGACAGAACTGGAGAGGATCTGCAAGGAGGAATGGCAGAGGATCCCCAAATGCAGGTGTGAAAAACTTGTTGCATCATTCCTAAAAAGACTCATGGCTGTATTAGCTCAACAGGGTGCTTCTACTAAATACTGAGCAAAGGGTCTGAATACTTATGACCATGTGATATTTCAGTTTTTCTTTTTTAATAAATCTGCAAAAATGTCAAACATTCTGTGTTTTTCTGTCAATATGGGGTGCTGTGTGTACATTAATGAGGAAAAAAATGAACTTAAATGATTTTAGCATATGGCTGCAATATAACAAAGAGTGAAAAATTTAAGGGGGTCTGAATACTTTCCGTACCCACTGTACTGTTTGTTCCTCTGGTTAGCAGCTTAACTTCAGGTGTGTATCTCAACCCTTCCTCTCTTTCTCTTCTGCTGCCAGATGTCTTAAGTCCCCTTCCTGACTCCTATAGTCCTCAGTATGTGGAGGCTGCCTGGTATTCATGGTGGGAGAAGCAGGGCTTCTTCAAGCCTGAGTATGGGGTAAGGAGGCCCCCAAACACTATATTAACACAGTGGAAAATGTCATACTCTTATTGATAATTTTAGTCTAAAATATCATGTCTCTGTTGTCACTACCTTCTGCAGAGGACAAGTATTACTGAGCAGAACCCTCGTGGCATCTTCATGATGTGCATCCCTCCACCTAATGTGACTGGATCACTTCACCTGGGTCACGCTCTCACCAATGCCATTCAGGACTGTCTGACCAGATGGTAATGACAGATGGATGGCTCAAAATAGCCTGAAATTCAAATTCATATATTAGCCATGTGTTTGAATTGATGTGCTTTCCTCTGCCCATCCAGGCACAGGATGCGAGGTGAGACCACTCTGTGGAACCCAGGCTGTGACCACGCTGGCATTGCCACACAGGTGGTGGTGGAAAAGAAGCTCATGAGAGAGGGGGGTGTGAGTCGCCATGACCTGGGCAGGGAAAAATTCATCCAGGAAGTCTGGAAGTGGAAGAATGAGTGAGTGAAGGAATGGGAGAGATTTTTCACTGGGTGAAATATGGGAATAAAAGTACAATAATAACTTTGCTTTTTGCCTCCATAGGAAGGGAGACCGTATCTACCACCAGCTGAAGAAGCTGGGCTCCTCTCTGGACTGGGACAGGGCTTGCTTCACTATGGATTCAGTGAGCTTTGCGAAATGCCTGGATTTCACTTGAATATATCTGAATAAACTCAATAATTCCTTCTTGTCATATCTGTACTGTTCTTGCTGTCCAGAAACTTTCCTATGCAGTCCAAGAGGCCTTTATCCGCATGCACGATGAGGGAGTGATCTACAGGAGCAAGAGGCTGGTCAACTGGTCCTGCACACTAAACTCTGCCATCTCTGACATAGAGGCAAGTTGCTCTGTATTTAGACACTTTCGTTAAATGGAGAGGAAATGATGTAGGAGGCTTGTAGTACAATAAGAAGTCACAACATTATGTTAAGCTGTCACTTTGTAGGTTCTGATTTCAGGGGTTTACACTCACTGCCTTGGTTGAGGTTGAACTTAAAATGTTAAATCTTTCTTTTTTTTAAAAAACAAAAATCTCTTTGACTGATAGTGTTATATGCATACATTGCCAGTGATTACTAGGGCTGATGTTCAAACACTAAAGCTTTTAGAATACCTACACAGACTGTATGTGTCTGAAGCCCAGATTACTGAAAACCGTGAATCCTTGTTTTGGTTGGTTTCTCGTTGTTTTCACTTATTTTTGAATATTTCCTGATTTTTAAATCCTAATTTTGTTAATGATATACTTTAGTACACCCAGGTTTAAATCTTGTTGTGCCTTTACACCGACAATAGCTGCGGCTGGAGGCATTATGTTTTTGGTTTGTTCATCTGTCCGTATGATTCTTGTGAATGTGATATGTCAGGAACGCCTTAAAGGAATTCCGTCAAATTTGACACAAATGTGCACTTGGACTCTAGGATGAACTGGTTAGACTTTGGTGGTCAAAGATTAGTGACATAACATCTGTCCCATACTCATGAATTTGATGGGCTGGTGGGGGCATACAACCACGAAGGGGTAATTTTAGTTTATGTTTAGACAAGAAAATTTTATATTTTTATAAAGCACAGTTAATAAAAGTGCTGTACAAAAATAAATAAAAAATACAACATAAAAATAGAAAAGACAAAATAAATACAGATACATAAAACAACTGATAGCACACTTAGTCTACAAACTCTGGTAGTCAATAAAACAGAATTTTGAGAAACCTGTTTTATGCTCGCTGGTGATATTTTGGGTCTGAATATCAACTGCAGTTTACCTTTTTAAAAGCAAAATGCCCAAAAATACTCTCTTAAAGAGAGACATTGTATTTTTCTACAACAATGAGATTATGATGGTACAAAAAAGTCTGATTTTGGTATTGGTGGTTAATATCTATCAGCCATACTTCATTAACTTGTCATAAGGCTCTTTTAATGCTTTGTTGCCTTTATGTAATTTTTTTATTTTAAGACTAAATGTTCTTTCTGGCTTTTGACTCCCTACCTGACTCCAAAGAAGAGCTGCACAAGAATTCGTATATGCCTAGACTGTCTGTTTATGCATAAATGGCAAATAAAAATCTTGACTTGACTGATGGCGATACATTCAAACTTCCAGCACTGGTAACCTGCGGTTCCTTTGCAGGTGGATAAGAAGGAGCTCACTGGTAGGACTCTGTTGCCTGTGCCTGGTTACAAGGAAAAAGTGGAGTTCGGTGTCTTAGTGAGTTTTGCCTACAAGGTCGATGGAACAGGTACATGGACTTGTGAAGGGCACAATATCTTGAAGCAAGACGCCTTGGCCCCACTGTTCTATAATTCCTTTCTCCATCTTTTTCCTAGACGAGGAAGTGATCGTGGCCACAACGCGTATTGAGACGATGCTGGGAGACACAGCTGTAGCTGTCCACCCTGCTGACCCCAGGTACCAGCATCTGAAAGGAAAAACGGTGCTGCATCCCTTCTGTGACCGCAAGATGCCGATTGTTTTCGATGACTTTGTGGACATAAGCTTTGGAACAGGTATGTCTGGTTACAGGAAAAGATGAGCCGCATGTGGGTCTGCAGTGTGCTGTGAATAAGTAATCGTAAGTCGTTAAGTCAGGCCACTTCCCTCATTAAGGCAGAATTTTTTTTTTTCCCCCACTCCTCTTTACATTTCACTTCTGTCTGCCCTATTTTCTGTTCAGGCGCTGTCAAAATCACCCCAGCCCATGACCATAACGACTATGAGGTTGGAGAGAGACACAATCTAGCCTTCATCAACATCATGGATGAGAATGGCTTGCTCATTAATGTGCCTCCTCCCTTCCTGGTATAGTCTCTCATTATCTGCCCCTGTAGTTGGTGCATTTCTACCGTGACACAGAAAGCCAGCTTTCTAGATGCTTTGCATATTGTAGCAATTTTATTTCTTAATTTTATTATTCTCTCTGTCCCCCAGGGAATGAAGAGATTTGAGGCGAGGAAGGCAGTGTTGCAGGCTCTCAAGGACAGAGGCCAGTTTAAGGAGGTCAAAGATAATCCTATGGTAGTTCCAGTCTGCAGGTAAAAATGGCGTTGCTTGTACAAGTGAAACGCAGGTTATTTGTGTATTAGATCTGTTCTTGGTTTAAGCTCCATTGTGTATCTGTCCTATTAGTCGATCCAAAGACATTGTGGAGCCGCTGCTGAAGCCGCAGTGGTATGTGAACTGCACAGAAATGGGCAAGGAGGCCGCTGACGCCGTCAGAGAGGGACGGCTGAAAATCATCCCGGATCACCACCTCAAGACGTGGTTCAACTGGATGGACAATATCAGGTAATGTTTAAAAGCATTTCTTCTGTGTTATGCCTGTTGCTGAGAGATGTGAGCCGCGGTTGCACTGTTCAGTACTATGTCAGCTATGGCAGACACTCACAATCTGCTCTTTATGGCATATTTTGCTGAAATGGTGACAGAAGTACAGTTAAGCTTTTTAAACTCAGTGAAGTAAAGTATATTCTCTATAGAATATTAGAATTGTTGCTAATTGATTTTCTGTTGATGAACAAATAAACAGACTATTTGTTTCAGCTCTGAACAGTAGGATATTATGAATAATCAAGTGTAGAGTGACTTCATCCATCCCTTTTCTTCTCAGGGACTGGTGTATATCCCGGCAGCTGTGGTGGGGTCACCGTATTCCTGCTTACTTCATCACTGTCCACGATCCCTTTGTGAAGCCAGGAGAGGTAAAATGACATCTGTCAATACTGTCAAGGTCTCGTGGTTTTCAGAAAACAGATAAAAGCAGTTTGTGTTGTTATTGGACATTTCTTTGTGGGTTTCTTTCATTTATTTCCTCTTTTTGTTGTTTTTCCTGAAGGACATGGACGGTCACTACTGGGTGAGCGGGAGATCGGAGGAGGAGGCCAGAGAGAAGGCCGCAAAACGTTTCAACGTGTCTGCTGACAAAATTACCCTCAGACAGGGTAAGATTTAACAGCTCTGAATTTATGAGCCTCATTGCCACAGTTAGTTTAAAGGCTATCTTATCTAATTTAATTAATTCTACTATATCCAGATTAGACAGCTTTTGTTGTGTTTCAGATGAGGATGTTCTGGATACTTGGTTCTCGTCTGGCATTTTCCCCTTCTCTATCTTTGGTTGGCCTAATGAGGTAAGAAAAAAACTGGGGGTCAGTCAGTTTGCAGTAGATATTATGGATATTCTGCATTTGAAAACTGCACATCATGTAATAAAGAAGAATATTTTAAACCAGTTCACATCCATGTTACTAGACCTCTGAGTATTCTGTATAAAGTATGAGTTTTAAACAGTGTCATTTTGTTCTCTCCAAGCGTTTTATGTATTTCTGTGATAAATGTTTGTGGTCTTCTATAGACCCAGGACCTGAATGTGTTCTACCCTGGCACCTTGCTGGAGACAGGCCATGACATCCTGTTCTTCTGGGTTGCTCGTATGGTGATGATGGGCCTTAAACTGACTGGAAAGCTGCCCTTCAACGAGGTGAGACCAGTTGAAGCTGCCAAAAACCACTATGTAGCACAGCTGGACATGATGTTGGTGTTAGATGGACATAACTCTGTAATGATGATGTTTTTGTTACAGGTTTATCTGCATGCAGTGGTGAGGGACGCCCATGGAAGGAAGATGAGCAAGTCTCTGGGCAACGTTATTGACCCTCTAGATGTCATTACAGGGATCTCCCTTGAGGTAAAGCCTAATTGCACCCTGATGCATGTTCAGTTAAGCACATACACAGTCTTTTCTGTCTCCCACTTGGTTTGTCTTTTACATGGTCACCCCACTCTCACTGCTCCCCCAAGGCCCATTTTCTTGTGTAAGCTTTATTAAGCGCCCCTTTCTGCTCCCAATAAGCTTTTATTGAGGCCATCAATTCCTTCACTGGCTGGTGGAAACTGCTCAGTCAGACGAAGCAGACGTCCTCTAGAGGGCACTAAAGGACTTGTAATAAACTGTACTTTCCTCTTAAAAGTTTTCCTTGAAAGGTCCTCTCCCGTCCACCCAATTAAGACATCAAAAAGCAGTTGAAAGAGAATTTGTAATCCTCAGGAGGAAAGCTGAACACATTGCTTTGTTTTTCAAAGGTGACAGCCCTCCTTATTCCCTGTCCCTCTACCCTCTAGGGTCTTCATGCCCAGTTGATGGATAGCAATTTGGATCCAGTGGAGGTGGAGAAGGCAAAGCAGGGCCAGAAGTCAGACTACCCAAATGGCATCCCAGAGTGTGGCACAGATGCTCTTCGGTTCGCCCTGTGTGCCTACACTAGCCAAGGTGGATTTAGTCATATTTTTGTGTGTCTTAAGTCCTCCCTTGTTGTTCCTCAGTTGGCCAACAGCCTGTGTCTCAATCTTGAATACATAAAATATATCAAAACACTGGATGAATGGGATTCAATCCTGTCAGTACAAGGCCAGTTGTTATAGTATCGTTCTAGTTTAATACATATTGAAATGATTATTTATTCCTCTTTGTGTCCCCCAGGTAGAGATATCAACCTGGATGTCAACCGTATCCTGGGTTACCGTCACTTCTGCAACAAGCTGTGGAACGCTGTGAAGTTCACCATGAAGACTCTGGGGAACAACTTTGTACCTTCAGAGAAAGCCCAGGTGAGACCAGAACTTACACAAAGATTGCTCCATACTTATTTATATTCATCCAGTAGAATGCATACTTTTTTGGCTAAATAAATGTAGTAAAATAGTTTTTTCCATTATTTGCCTGGGGGTTTTGTTTGCCCATATGCCGCCCTCCTTTGTATTCATACACTCGTACACATTGACATCTGGGAGCCACCCAGCGCAAGAGTCGTGTCGACTGAATCTGAACATTTCTTTTTCACACCTCTTTTGATCTTCTCAGTTGTGTGGAGAGGAGAGTGTGTCAGACAGGTGGATTCTGTCTAGACTGAGTGCAGCTGTGGGTTTATGTGATGCTGGCTTCAAGGCCTATGACTTCCCGGCCATCACCACCGCCATCTATAACTTCTGGCTGTACGAGCTCTGTGATGTCTACCTGGTGAGAAAGCATGTGTGACCACTGAGCAGCCCATGTGCATTCATCTTAAGTAGACTGTGAGGGCATGTAAAAAGCTTCTGCAGAAGACGCTGTAGTTAGGGACTACTTTGCCCTCATCTCTTCTCTCCCACCCTTCTTGTTATTCAGGAAAGTGTGAAACCAGTGTTCAGCAAAGCAGAAGAAGACAGCACCAGCCAAAGACAGGCCCAGGTGTGCAGGAAAACTCTTTACACCTGTCTAGATGTCGGCCTGCGGCTCCTGTCTCCCTTTATGCCCTTCGTCACTGAGGAACTCTACCAGCGGTTACCACGAAGACAACCTCAGAGCGACCCCCCCAGCATCTCTGTGACGTCCTACCCTAACACCGAGGAGGTGAGTGCAGGAGGAAGAGGATTGTGTTAAAACTCACTCTGTACAAATGATTTATTTTAAATAATGGTCGCTGATATTTTATGTCCTTCACTGTAGTTCTGCTGGCACAGTGAGGAGGTTGACCGTGACATGGAGTTCGTAATGACTGTGGTGAAGACCATCCGGTCCCTCAGGGCTGATTACAACCTGACCAAGACCCGAGCTGACTGTAAGATGACACACAAATAAATGCTAAAATAAGTTTTGTTTCAAGGTCAGATGTACGTAATCTCAGTTAGATTCTGTCTCACTCTCATGCTGTATTTTGTAAGTACATTGTTACCATTTTACTCCCCATCTCTCAGGAGGCTCTTACTCCTTCCTGTAATGAATCTAATCAGTGGTGACATGTAGCTCAGTACATTTACTCCTGTACTGTGTTTAAGTACAGGATTATTTCTTTTTTTATGCTACTTTATACTTGTACTCTACTCCATTTTCTGTACTTAACATATTTGTTACTTCAGTGATATAGATTTACAGATTCAACTATAGAATAGATCAGTTAAATCTGACTCTACCTCAACATGCTAATGCATCAATAATAGACTAGTGGTACTTTTACTTTTGAGAAGTACATTTTGGTGATAATGTGTTCATGTTTATTTAAGTGGGTTTGAATGAAGGACTTTAACTTGTAATAAGTGTTTTACTTCCTCCACCAGTAAATGTAATGGCCATAAACACCAAATGTACAACCAGCGTGCATTGAATCCTTAGTATATCCTGTCAGTAAGGTACTGTAATGATGTCTGACCTCCAGTTGGCACCTTTCCCCCACAGGCTACCTCCAGTGTATAGACTCTGCAACTGTGTCTGTGGTGCAGAAGTACAGTCTACAGATCCAGACCTTGTCTTCCTCTCAGGCTATCATCCCTCTGACAGCCGGCCAGCCTGTCCCAGAAGGCTGTGCTGTGGCTATTGCCTCTGATAGATGTACTGTCAACCTTATGCTCAAGGTGAGTGTTTGCAATATGCTCAGTTTTGTTTGGTCCTTCCCATGCCTGATGTGAAAGTGCATCAGCCCTTGGTATTGTGTATTTACTAAACCTGTCGCCAACTACCACCAGGCACAGGAAATGTTGCAGCACTGCAATTTTTTAAATTAAGCAGCGTATTTACAAACACTGATGATGTAAATTAGCACAGCTGGAGCTGTGTTAATTTGAATACACCGCCGCTTCAGATCTGCTGCCTAAAGGCTGTTGAGGACTAAGTTTACAGAGACCGAACTTTAATATGGTTGAAGGGGGGGGAAAAAAAAAAAAGCATTTTGGAATAGCAGACGTGGTCTTCTGCCAGTCAAATCACCTTCAGAAACTGAAGCCTGTAAAGGTCCCTCACATTCTCCTCAGGCGAGCGAAGTGATTTACAAACATCCTCTCCCTCCTCAAATGTGTTCTCAACTCCAAAGAGATCTCAGATGACTAACAGCTGCCTTAAAAATACATACTACATGAGACCAAAGGCAAATTCCTGCAGTGCCACATTTCTTCTGTTTCTCTACAGCAAAACCCCACTGTGACTCCTTAGTGAATATGAATACATGCAATTTCACTGTTTAGTGTCAGAAAATAAGCTGCAAAACCTCAGTAACTATCCCCCAAAATTAGGTAAATTTTGCCCTCCATCGCATCTTGCACTTCTAAATCAGTTAAATTTTCTGGTTCTGTTTTGAAAAGTTAAATGACTAACTGAACGGTTTAAATGCACATCAGATATTTGATAATCAAGGCAGGTAGTTATGCTTTAAATGCTACTTAAACTTGGCCTACTCCACTTCAGTTTAGGTTGGTTTTTCCTCTGTCAATGAACTGAAATAATGAGATCGTAATTTGTAGCTGTAACCTTTTATTTCCTAGGGTCTCATTGACGTTGAGAAGGAAGTAGCTAAACTGATGACAAAGAAAAGTGACTTGGAGAAACAGATGGATAAAATGAGAGAGAAGATGACGAAGAATGACTATAAGGAGAAGGTGCCAGTGAAGGTGCAAGAGCAGGATGCTGAGAAGGTGGGAAAAATAAATTGACTCAGAAGGTTTCTCTTGGTGTAAGACGTGATTTTCTGGTAAGTAATTACTTCCTTTTCTCCACAGTTACGACAGAGTCAGACTGAACTCGAAAAAGTCAAAGAAGCCATGGAAAACTTTAGAAAAATGACATAACCCCTCCCCAGAATTATTTCCTCTTTAATGCCAGTGTGCTACTTTTCATATTTTTTTTCGGGTTGATTGTGGTATGGAGGGAAATCAATAAATCTCTTACAACTGTTTTCTTGATCATTGTGTTCTAAGTCTATTGTATATCTGCAATTTGTTGCATCACATAATTCACAAATGCATTCAGTCCCTTATGTTAAACATTTTATTCATCATATTTAATAGAACATTTATGCATTTTGGCTGCGTTATTAAAGATTAACTCATCAAGCTTATTTATGTTAACTGATTGTAGCAGCAGTTTTTTTCTACTTAGATGCTTCTTTACAAATACAGCCAAAGGGGAACAATGGAAGGAGTGAGTGGAGGCTTGTGCATTTCCTTAAAATACACCCTATCAAAAAAAAAACAAACAAACACTGAAAAGTATGACTAAACATGAACCTTAAAAAGAAGAGGTGTTCCATTTCCATTTTTATAGTTTTTTTTTTTTTGGCTGGTGGTGATGGTGACAGATCTTTCCAGGTGCTACCACAGCACAGGGCTTACCGACACTCCATGGAAACAACACATCCCTATCAGCTTGATATGACTGCAGCACAGAGACACCAGTCATCGTCCACTTCATAGTCACTGTACACAGCACCACATACTATACATGACACCAAATCTCCTGGAAAAAAAAAAATGTCTGGAACAAAATACATTCGTACATGCCAGGAACGCGCTGTGACCACAGGCCATCCGAATCCTCCACTGTTCACCTTCTCTCATCCACCTATCCTCCTCTTTCTTCACAGTCTCCAGGGTGAGTGGAACTCGGAGGCGGGGAGAGGGGTGCAGTGTGTCGTTTCAAAGTTTCGCATGTACTTCCGTGCCTTGGAGAGAGAGAAAATACAGCGGGAATGGAGAATGAGAAGTGTGGGAGGCCACTGAACAGAAAGTGCAGAACTTGATTATATTAGATTCAGTATGTCTTGCTCAGTGCCTCAGAAATCACCCCCATCTCTTAAGGGTTTACATGGGAGGTGAATGAAGCCTAATTCAAAAGGCATTACCAAGGGAGGAAAAGCATAGCATTAGCTGTAATTGATGGCACTCCTCTTGTTTGATGTTAAATGACTTCAATAAGCTGAGCGTGGTAAAATATATTACACCAGTCAACCTGAGAGCACAGGTGAGCTGGTTACTATGGCAACCACAAAAGTGGTCCTCAGCAGTAATGATGTCTGTGATGTGGTGTTTGTTTTTTTTGTTTTTTTCTTTAAGGAGTGCTAGTGAAGGGGGAAGGTAAGCCAGCCTTGATCAAAAATACGGCTTATTGTAGAAAAGGAAATTAAGGAAAGTGAAGGAAATTACTGTGGGCAAATGTTAAAGCCAAATGTGCAACAATTCGACTTGGAGAGATGAGATAAAGACAACAGGTGGCTGCCCTTTAAACCATACAGGAGAGACACACTGAGATTAAGTGCTTGGATAACAAGAGATTAATTTCTTACCAAGAAAAGAGCCAGCTGCCTCCTTCCCTCCAGAGTCATATCTTCACCTGGTAACATTACCAATGTGTCAGACCATTTAAAACCACTGAGAGTTGAGTATTGTCTGCATTTTATTTGCCTAGTAAATCCAAAAGGAGCTAGGGCTTACCGACACTCCATGGAAACAACACATCCCTATCAGCTTGATATGACTGCAGCACAGAGACACACCAGTCATCGTCCACTTCATAGTCACTGTACACAGATACTGCAGAGCGAGAGAGAGCTGGCGTTACACAGGGCTCTTATCAACTACGCAGATTTTGAAGCTTGAAATATACACGTTTCCTTGAATTGAGCAGGTTTTACATAAAATCTTACAAAGGTTATGCTGAGTTTAAAGGCATTCTCCAGTGTTCAACACATTTGAAGGTACTGTGGGCATATGGGCATTCTTACCTTCTTCTAGGGGACTGGAAGCTCCCAACCATTGTCTGACAGCTCTGATCCCTTCATCTGTCATTATTTTGGGGTATCTGGGCAGAAAAATGGCATCCCTTACTGTACATTTGTCATTGAACAAGTATAAATACACTGAGCATATCCAGCAGTGACATTACTGAGATTACATGTTTGAGAATGAATGAGACTGACCTGAATTGTAGCAGTTTGAGCAGGAGGTCATTGCCTCTGTTAGACATGACATCCTGTGGACCCCTGTAACACAGTTTAATTTGTCTTGCTCAGATCCTTGAAAGCTTGTATATGAAAATATTTAGCAGAATAGGGCCTTACTGGAAACAGTGTTGCTAGACCTTTCAGTGAATGGGTTTTACTGGAAGTATCTTCCACATAGTCACTATGACGTGGTGCATTCTGATAATTGTCAAGCATAACAGAGAGAATGGTTCAAGAAAGAACCACTGCTGTTAATTTGATTCATTTTCACAAATGAAGTTCCATTCACCTTCATTGTATTGGTGTGATAAGACAAACTGAAATTAGCATGCTGAGGAAGGCTTGGCCTGAAAGTCCCAGCGCCTGTGCGTGACAAGTCACAGTATCTTTACATTCATGTTCACTGGTATGATGACAGAAATCTAGGAGATGATCATCATTCCTAGATACTGCAAGAGATAGGTGAGAAAACATGTTATTTTCTGACTGGGATGAACCTGACCCATAACTCTTTACATTTTGTTAGTTTCACCCACAATAGAAGAGTATGGAGCACCTCCACCTAACAACCTGCTTCAAAAAATATTTCCTGTTTACGTCTTGCATGTGTAAACTCTGTGGAAAGTAAGCCTAATATAGTTTATACTGAAACATTTTAAGATGGACTGTGGAGACTTACGCTGTGGTGATGATCTCATCTCTGGATCTCCTGATCAGCAGGACTGGCCCCTGGTATCTGGAGGGAAAGCAGTTATGTTAATCATCAGCATCATGTGAGCAACTGTATGCCAAAAACATTTTTCATTAGTACATGCCAGCATACTGTACAATGCTCAATTATGCAAACATTTGACTTTTATGACCGTCACTATAAACAGACTTGACCCACTCACTTAATAAGCTGCTCTGCATTGTTGAGGTTCACGTACTGCCTAACTGTGTGCTGCACCAATGGCCCTAGGAGACAACAAAGATATTTCAGTTGTTAAAACTACTTGTTGCAAACAAAAGAATGAATATAGTGTATGACCTTTAACCTCTAACACTCACTCCAGCTGTCAGGCATGACCTTGAGGGCCAGAGGCAGGAGGTCATCAAAGGAAGCATCCAACACTACAGACTGGATCTCTGGGTATGACATCACTGCCCATGTGGCTGTGAAAGAAAAACAGGATAAAGAGGAACAGAAATTGAAGAGTAGGGAAATGCAGAACCACAAAAGAAGTACAGTGGAACCTCGGTTTTCGTGATTAATTGAATATTGGGGGAGTTAATATAGAACGAGTTCATGAAATTAAATTTCTAGGTGTCATAGTTGATGACAAATTCTCCTGGAAATCTCATATCAGGTATGTTCAGAACAAAATAGCAAAAAATATATCGATATTGGCAAGGGTTAGATATATTTTGGACGGGAAAGCACTACGCATTTTGTATTCCTCATTGATTTTACCATACTTGGAGTATGGCGTTGAAAACTGGGGAAATACATACATAAGCTCACTTCAACCGTTGTATATATTACAAAAAAGAGCGATAAGAATTGTGCATAAGATGGGGTATAGGGATCACACCAATGGAGCTTTCATACAGTCTAAATTGCTAATATTTTTCGATTTAGTGGGATATAAGACTGCTGTGTTTATGTATAAAGCCAGGAACAATTTATTACCTGGTGGAATTCAAAAACTATTTAATGAAAGAGAAGGTGGATACAATTTAAGGGGTCAGTTAAATTTAAAAATTCATGCTATACGTACAACCAAAAAATAATTTTGTATTTCCATAAGTGGGGTAAAACTATGGAATAATTTAAGGGTAGACATAAAAAAATAGTAATAGAATTGACGAGTTTAAACGTAAATATAAAGGTATGTGTCAATCAAGATATATGCAAGAACAGGCTTAATGATTAATTACATGGAACATTGTGGGTGTGGTGTATATTTTGTAATAATTCTTTAGTATACTACTTGTGTGATGTAAGAATGTTAACACTGTTAAAATCTTTTTTAGTATATTACTTGTGTGGGTAAAAGTGAATTATTTACTGCTTGCAAACCAATGATGGTAAGATGATGTCATGGGGTAGGACTGGATAAGTCTGACTTCTTCATACTCCATTCAAGCATGTACTAGATATATGCAAATTGATATTGGATTATGTGTAAAATTATGTGTGTTCACATATCAACTGTTTTTACATGCTTGAAAGAATAAATCAAATCAAATTAATCCATTCAAAAAAGTCCGCCGAAAACCGAATGTACGAAACCTGAAGCAATATTTCTCATAAGAAATAATGTAAATCCAATTAATCCATTCCAGACACCCAAAAATATTAAAAAAAAAACAAAAAACCATTTTATAGAGAATAACTATATTTTTACATACAAAAAACAATGAGAAATAAATATAAATGACTAATGAAATGGATAAATGAACATTTAACATCACTTTTACCTTTATTGAAGACTCTTGTTGCCGTATGGAAGACAGCGAGGAGGGGAGAGGGAGGAGGACAGGTTATTGTTTGGAAGGGGAATCCCCCTCCATAAGGACTTCATGTATCAAGGCCCTAACTGGGGTTACTTCCCTTCACTCATTTCTTCTGGGAAATGAGTGGCCAAGTCACGCGGGCAGGTGGACGAGTTTGGTACGGACTAATGACGCTGAACCAACCAATCAATTGTACGAAAACCGAGCGGATGTACGAAAACAGACAAAATTTCAACGAAAAAAGTCGTCGAAAACTGAATCGTACGAAAAGTAGGGCATACGAAAACCGAGGTTCCACTGTATTAAATAACATGATTCACATTTACAGCATTAGGCAGTGCTGATTATGTATTGCTCTAATGTACCTGTGAATCCTCCTATGGACCAGGCATATACAACAATGTCACTGAGCTGAAAGCCCAGCCTGTGGATTGCAAACTGGATCACTACATCCATAGCATTGGCCTCATTTTGGGGGAATGGTACTCCCTGGTAAAAAGATACAAGAAGAAAAAAAAACAATATTCTAGTGAGACTCAAAACAAAGTGACAACATAAGCCACTCCTAACCCCTCCCATCACATCCATTTTCCTAGTCACCACGTAAACTACAGATGCCTGGTTTCAGCAAACTGTACAGAAGCAGCTACCAGTCCAAACATAGTGTTAGCTAACGAATGGGTAAATTTGGCAATCTGATAAAACACTATGATAATGTGACACAAAGCACTGATGTTTCACAAAGCTCATATTACTCCCAAGTTCAAATCATATTAATTCAATACAAAGGTAGAATCTTGACCATGCTAGGTCACTAATGTTACCATAAAAACACATTAGCACTGGATGCTGAAGTATCCACAAGGAAGAACGCCACATATGAATCAAATCTGAGTCCTATGACTGATTTTAACCCTCTCTATCTCAAAAAGCCAAGGTGATGCTAACCCTGGTTTTTGCTCTTTCTTTGTCCCACTCTCTGTGCAAAATAACTACTTCTGTCTGGCAGCCACTGTTTCAGTCTTTTAGCAGAGGAGAGGTCCTTTGGGATGGAGGTTTGAAATGAAAACTGCTTCTTATAACCTTCACTAGTGCTGCTTTTCCACTATCAGAACCTAAAGGTATACAACACACTTCCCTTAACCATCCCCAAGCATAATGTCTGGGGTTGACATGGACCGTCCTGCTTTGTTTTTCCACTGTAATTTCTCTCTGTTGGTCTCTGTTTAGAGGAAGGAGGGGCTGCTCCTCTCTAACATACACAGTCAGCTGTGTGTTTACACACGGTGCTTGTAATGCTAATGCTTGAGATATGAAGAGGTGGGCATTTAACCAATTACTGGGGCTGCTCTGGCGCATGCACCCCCTCCCCCCTCACATTCCTGGTACTTGATTTTAGTACTATCCCCCAAGGGGGATAGTACTAAACTTGACTTGCAGAAAACACCTCCAAAGCAGGTGCACCATAGTGGAAACAAACGCAGAACCCATGATTAGCATTATTCAGCGCAACACATTTTGTGAGCTTCCTATAATGGAAAAACCCCTTTAGTGGCAAACAGGGCTAATTTACAAACCATACTTTGAAAAAAAAGATAGTTTAGAGAAGCTGGACTAACAACAGAAGGGCTGTAGGCAGCAGAATGGACAGACACCACGTCCTGTTCCATTTTCAACTGATTTATCAGGCAATGCACCTTTCACCTTCATTCTACCCCAGTGATATTATCAACCATGGGAGTGCCCTTGCCCTCTTATGCAACATTGCCCAGCTGAAACCAGAATTTCAACATACTGCACTGCACTGTTTATACACTGTAGGCTGATGCTGCTTTAGCTTTACACAACACTGCTTACCGTGCTGCCTCCAAAGCCAGGATGGTTCCAGCCCAGAACAGAGTAACCAGCTACGGCACACACCAACACAAGATTTAATGTTAACTGAAATACAATACTGTCAGACTAATAAAAATTATGCGCTTTTCTACAAAAAAGTAACTGGCATTATAAAATATCTTGACTATGAAATAGAGGTTTCCTCACCCTCCAGTGGAGTGTTCATGCAGCCCACCTCATAGAAGCCTGCGTTCCCCTCACAGCAGATGACCTGTGGCACAGTTCACACATTTCCAGAACTATTGGTAATGTGACTGATGTGACAAGGGTTTTGTTGGACCCTGGAACTAGCCCAAGGCACAAAAACAAATCACTGTAAACACTTACCAGAGTCTTGCTGATCTGTCCCCCGTCTCTCCTTCGATCCACAAACATTGTGTCGATTTTATTACCATCACAGGCCACAAGCTTGTTCCTTTGCCCGTCAAACTGTGACAAAGTGGAAGGTATTGTCAGAGAATGATGATCAGTATTTATAAGAGTGAGCACAGACAGTGTGTCAGTGTGTGTGTGTGTGTGTGTGTGTGTTACTTTACCTCTTCTATTAACCTTGCTTGGCCTTGCTGCAGCATGGGCCTCATGGCTTTCTGTACTAAACCTACAGAGCCAGGGTACAGCATCCTCCTCCCAAACGAGTGGGCAATAAGAAAGCTGCAGAGTGAGAAAATAAACACGATTAAACTATATTAACATTGTATGGACACTGAATGCAAACCCACTATAATGCTTAATAACGCAGTACACTGTACCATTCCCTTTAGTGTGGCAGTAATGACAAATCTGTGGTGGTGTCCAGCAGTCATACAGAGCCTTCATTTTTTAAATCATGTTGCATAAACTCCATGTACCTGATGATGTGACATGGCAGAGTGCGCACAGAGTTGAGGATACCGTCTGCTGCTCCTCTTAATCTGGGCTCTGGCTTCAGCAGAGAAACACCAGCCTTGGACAGTTTCCTGTTACACACAGTCCAGGGCTTACAAAGACTTTGGCATTCACTGGCTGTATTTATGTCATGTATATCACAGTACTTTGAAAGCATGTCTTGCATGGTCATTTCCACTAGCAATGAAATATTAAAGCAGAAACGTACGGCTTGCCGACTTCTGTCCAGCTGAAATCTGAAGGCCAGCAGGAGAAGTCAAAGTCATAGCACCTCAGTTTTTTCTATATGAAAAACACAAAAAAGTATTTGGGACTTGCCTTAGGTTCAGACTTTTTTAGTATAGATAATTAAAAGTGTTTCCCCAAATAGCAAATCCAGTCTTGATGCAGAGTACTTGCTTTGTGTTGTCATGATCTCACCTTGTTCGCTGATGTGTGATTCTTCTTGGTTTCTTCAAGAATGGAGATAAACTGAAGATACTCTGGGTTCTTCCATCTCCCCCACCCTTGGAAAGAAATGGGGGGGCAGAAAACCGAGTAAGTATGACGATGATTATTTAAAATTTGGATTTTCATGGACTGGTCCTGATGAGTCTCCACTGCCACAGTGTTATTTACAAAGTGGCGCTAGCTAATCACAAAATGAGACCATGTAAAAGTTTGGCGATCAAGATGGGAGTTTGTTGATCAGACACTAGAGGATTCATAGTCACAGAAGAAAGTAACTGAAACATTAGCACTGTGAATACTGAGGCAACTGAAGAATCATATTGTCAAGAAGGTATTTGGGTTTTATGATTGTCACGCAGCTACTAATGTTGGTGTCTGTGTCTCTGTGTTGTGGGGGTTTTTTCGTCCAGTTTGTCCATGTTCCATGTTATGACTGGTGATAGACCGCTTCTTCAAATAAACAGCCAAACTTAATTATGGCGTTAAGTTTGGACAATGCGCGTAAAACAGACCTCCCTCTTAGTGGCTGATTGTTATTTTAGATAGCTGCTGCAACACAATGTACGATTTCGTAACTATTGTTGTCCGTTTTCATTTTGTGATTGGTCTGTGGAAGATTAATTGGCAAGTAATTTTACATAAGAGTAGCCCACAGTTTAAGTGTGACTGTGTGACAACACTGGATACAGATGTCTTTTTTTTTTTTTTAAATAGTATTAATTTACTCATTTTTAAAGAAATCAATGTGTAATAGAGTGAAAATGTGTTGCAAAAGTATTTAAAAGATGTTTAAGTTTATTGTTGAAAGCCATTGTTATTGCTGAGTGAAACATACAGTAGGCTACGCCAACAGTGATGATAAAGGTTTTTTTTTTTTTGTTTTGTTTTTATGAGTTAGGGCTGTTTTCACAATCTCCTCTGAGGGGAGGCTCACCTCCCCATACTTTGAGAGCCCCTGCACTAGACACAAAAACCCTTTGCAGCAAAGATTCATTGATGTTTAGTATGTGTTGTGAGCATCATTTTCATGAAATCTTATAGCATGCAGAGGTATAAACAGTACAATATATGTAGTCATATCTAAAGTTGGATGAATTAAATTTGCGATCACCTGCCAATCAGCTAAAATCTATAGTCTCACCTCTAAGACAGGCCACTCCTAGAAGACACACCAGCACAGCTCCCACATACTGACTCACTGGAACCAATTTGCTGCTGCAAATGTATCCTAAAAATAATCAAAATAACAGTGACACAGACATCCACATAACAATCTCCCCACCCCCACACCAATCACCGCCATACTTGTGACTTATTAACAGACACAAATTCAAAGAGTAACGGTCTAGCAACTGCCCCACAGTCATGTTCATAAATCAGAAATTCAATTACACACTAAGGAGTAGCACACAACTTCAGGCAATTAATTTCTATTGATGCACAGTTTTGCCTAATGATTCAGCTGATTAACTTTATATTAAGTGCACTTTTAGGAGAACATTGATTCTGAGCCACTAGTTTTTCGTCCTTAATGGGAGGAGAAATATCATCCAGAATACATATTTTAACATTATGTCACAGCCAAATCTTCTCAGGAAGCCTTTTACAGAAACAGCTCAAAAAGTTTCTGTTTTTGAAATGTCCTGGCCCCTCTAGCTGGGATGTTTATATAGGAGTATGACGCAATAATGACGAGGCTGACATCATTATCATGATATGCATATTTTCCAATATGCAAAAATCACAATGTTCTGATGATATTCAAAACCATCAGCAATAATTCATACTAGCTACCTTTCCTGTAGAGATAGCACAGGAGAAGAGGAGAGCTGTAGTAGGACAACGACCACAATGTTGAAGCCTGTGGCAAGAAAACACACATTGCTTTACATTATTTACTTTTTCTGTCCAAAAGCCCAATCACACAGCAATACGTACCCAGCTAAGGATGCTGTCCGTGTGTTTCTCTAGACTCCATGGTTGGTAGTTCCATCCCTGTTGACAGAGAAAAACAATGTTTTTTTTCCCGCCCCTGCGTTCCAGCTAGCGCTAGCATTACTGGTTTAATATAGCTGAAGAAAACACTTTATGAAGTTACAGTCAGACTGGCTGGTACCGTGACGGGGAAACAGAACGGAACTGAGCATAAAAAGACAAGTATAGATGTGTGGTTGTCATTTCATTCATTTACAAACTGTCATCTTGACTGTAACGTTACCGTGTCATCCTAAAAACGGTTTCAATAACAAGCATTTGACACTTCCGGGCCGCAACCGGTGCTACTTAGTTGCACAGAGGCACCGCTCAGCTTACACACGCGGCTGTTATTAAAATTAGTGCAAGTTATGGCTATTCCTACCCTCCTCCCTGCTCTGCTCTCTGGCCGAGACTGGTCAGGTGAACGGTGAATTCGTTGTAAATGAGGCCCGAAGACACAGCGGAGCCACATCCAACTAGCCATTCTTCCAGTACTTCGACTACGGAAGCCTGCGGTAACCATAAGTCTCAAACGCGAAAGTGTTTACAATTTTGTAAAAAAAATATGGGCGACAAGCGACATTAAAGCCAATGTTTATTTTAAAATGTCTATACTTAAATACAGTGGTGGAAAATATATACAATTACTTGTAGTTTGTAAATATAATTTTTACTTCTTTTCCACTACATTTCAGGGGCAAATAGGCCTACTGCCTGTAGGCTAAATTACACTGCACTTTTGGTAAACCTAAAGTTTAATCTTATATTGCATATTAAGAATGTACACTCAAAAATATAAATAGTTTGTAAAATATGATAATGACACATTGTTCAGTGCACAAACATGTTTGATGAGTAAAATTGGCACTTAAGGTCTTAATTGTTTTTTCTTTATTGTCATTTGTCATGCCTACAATGGTAGTACAGGAAGAACAAAAAAGTGCTTCACCCAAGATCCTTTACAGATAAAAATACATACATACACTCAGTTAGATAAAAAATAGTTTAAAATAACTCGAATAATGAGAATATCTGTTGATACTTTAAGTAGGGTACATTTTACATACTGTATGTATTTTGACTTAAGTGACACTTAAATATTGTTTTAGTGAGTTATTGCTACATTTACTTATGCAAAGGCTCTGAATAATTCTTCAATTCAACTGATTAAATACAGATATCCATATAGGTAAAATGTTTAACCAAGTAAAACAAAGTGTCATAAAATAATATGTATTACCTTCCACACATTTGAAACAAGTTCCAGAGCTTTATGAGAAATTCTTTTCCCTTCTTTTCTGTGTCCAGTGTTAAAACACAACATTAAAGCAAATCAGTTTCAAATGATCTATATAATGCAATATCTTAGAATATAAAATATTGAAACAATTTAGTAGCAGTTCCCTGAAGCACTGAAGTTTTCCTTCAAGTCCCAATGCCAACATTCAGTTGTTAATTTTGCTTATACAGTCCTTCTGCTACAGCTGGGACCTGAGTGGATGTGACAGTTAGATGAGGATTAGATGTGGGTAGGTGATCAGTTCTGACACTGCTCGTATCTGAAAACAGAGCACAAAGACAAACTCGCACAAAAATCTCCCATCCCCCAGTCTCTTTTATTCTTCTTTAAAGACAAACACAGGCAGCCCACACAACAACAACACACGGGTGAAGGAGCGTTGCCTGTCAGTGTATGGCGTGATATTATGCCACAGTGTCAGAGAGATGTTCAGGCCAGCGTGATTGGTGAGTGTGAGCAGAATGAGAGGGGCAGATGAGTGACAGTGCAAAGACACACACACAAGCACACACATACTGTATGCTTCAACCATGGCACACACAGGTGATGCAAGAGTCTTTGCTTACCGATCCAGTTCCTTATAGATATCATTCTCTCCTCTTGGCTTCAAATCCTGGCATAAAGGTGTAAAGAGGGAAGGGAGGCAAGGAAAAAGTGGAACAGTGAAGAGGAGGATAAAGAGAGATGCATAGTACTGAGGCAAGATTTATGGTTCTCCAGTGTGTAATAAGATTGACTTTTTAATACCACTAATGTAAGGATGACAGTTGATAGGCAATGGGTTTATCTGAGAGAGGGCTGACAGATTAGAGGAGAGTGTGAAGGAAGACATACTGTATCTACTGACAGCTTAGGGAGGGTGCAGTAGAGAGAATGAGAGCCTGTATGCACTGGTGAATGTGTGTATCACAACACCTCACATAGACATGCCCCTGTGCATGTGTAGGGGATGACACAATAACTCACCATGTAGACTGAGCCCTGGGGAGGAGCCTGTTGGTGATGGAGGAGAGCAAAGAAAACAGGTTTAATGAACAAGTGGCAGAGATTGAGTGATAGTGGATATCTGAGGAAAAACTGAAACAGAGGAAACACCAAAAATATATAATAAAAAAAAAAAGTACAATACTGACAAGACAGAAAAGGGGAGGGCGAGGTTGAGAGAAACAAAAAGAGAAGTACTAAATACTGGAGGGAAGGAACAGAAGAGAGAAAGATGAGGGCAGAAAGAAAGGGGGAAATTCGTCAGAGGATATTTAGTTATTGAAAATGTCTGAATCCATCACCTGTCTGATATCCTCAGGATTCTCATAGATGTTCTCTGCTTCGCCCGAGTGAACAGATAGAGACTGCTCAATACCTGAGTAGAGAGAAATAGTTTCCAGTACAATCTCTCTCACACATACATGCACAAAGCTTTTCAACTGCACAGGGAGGGAGGAGATGGGGGCAGATTCATTACAACAACCCCAGAGGATGTCACAGCCCACATCACTCAGTGTCAGCCGACAGGGGTCCAAGATGGACAGGACACAGAAAGCTGTCCAAAAAAAAAAAAAAAAAACCACTGGAAGACTCACCGCGATCAGAAATGTGTTTCTGTCTCCATAGCAACACACCGACAGACCCAGCAACCAGGGGCACCAGGAGTAATAAAGCAGAGAGAGAAGGGAGCAGGGAGGAGGTGGTGACACCGACATGCTCTACAAAAGGAAAAAAGTGAGAGAGAAAAAGCACGAATGTTTCCAAGAACAGTGCTAATATAAAACTCAAAAGGCTATGGGCGTGTGCTGTTGGATGACATGAAGGCTGTCTAGAGAAGTTATTGCTGTTTGCTCTTTTGTTCAAGTGAAGAAGGGGCAACCTTTTCTTTACAGTAACACTTCAAGCTATGTTTTAAGACATAAGATTTCCTCAACATGTTACATACATTTGTATTATTCAACTGTCAGTCACAGACAACGGGTGTAGTGGACGAAGGCAAGGAAAGGTTCTGTCAGACTGTCAATAGCCTGTACGACAGCTCAGTAGATATCGATCTAACAGAGCCTCAGTCTAGACAGTAACTGCTGTCAGTTTGAAACATGGACAAGAAGAACAACAGCTACTGCAGTAGACACCAGATACTGTCAGACATTATACAAATAATCTGCAAACACCACTTACATACAGAGTAGTTTGATCTGTTTTCACGTTGTAATTATTCTCCATCTCATCTAAATATACTGTAGGTAAAGTCAGGACAGACTTTGCCTTGCACGCTCCCTTGACATCTGATCCCAGCAACTAACAACTTCTAGGTAAACTAAGAAACAATGATAACAGCAGTTGTTCAGCCAAACTCTGGAACAGGTGCATAGAAAGTGTAGGCATGATTATCACAAACATTATGTAAGCAAACCATTAGCACACTGCAGTACTAGTCAAATGTTGTGTGAAGAGCACATGCATATGATCAAACTTGTCAGGTTTGTTTGCATAAGGAGGATGACATCAGTCTCGCAAAACACAGCCACAAGGCAAAACTGGAAGCGAGAGGGAGGCGCTTGTTTCCACAGAAACTGCTGTAATTTAAAAAATGTGAACAAGTGTGCCTGCCTGATCGCTGTGCACAGAGCACAGTGAGCATAGAGGATTACAAAAGCATAAATCTTAAAAGCAAGAAAGTTACAACCAAAACATATATTTACGTAGGCATCAGCATTTCTAAACAATCCAACCAGTCTCTTTCTGTGGCATTTGAGGTTATCTGATGGACAAGAACTTGGAAAAAATTGAGTTCACTCACCCATCTCATCAACTTTCTACACATTTTGTTTGTAAAAGGATTGGCCCTCAGTGTTCACCTTTGCCCTGGTGTAATAGATTTTAGACAGCTTTAAAATAATCAATCATTATGTGCTGTGCGAGGTGTAATTGATTGGTGAGAATGTGTAGTGGCTGCTAATGGAAAATGCTGGTGAGTGTTGACCCCCAAGACTGACCTGCACTGTTCTCCATGCCAGCTTTAACGCATGAATTATGGTAATTGAATGCAGTGAAGTGAGGCACAGATACCCCACAGCATCCCACTACCCCATCTCTTCTTCTCTCTTTCACTCTCTGCCTTTTCCCTCTTCTTGTGTTTCACCTTTCTGTCCCTCTTTTGGTGCTTTCTCCCCCACCTTGTATATTTCATGTTAAATGAAGAAGGGGGTGATTTATATCAGTGCGGCTGTAGAGGAGGGTGGCTGACTGCTTCGGTGCTTTGTAAATGATGGGACAACTGAGGATAGCAAAATGATTACACAACATCCCTGATATTTGAAATATTTTGTTTGCTGCAAAACACAATGATTGCTTCAATTTTGCTTTCTCTGAACTGTGCCACTAGTGAAAGCAATTCTATTTTGCAGTGTTATTGTAACATCTTCAGCTGGTTGGTGAGATCTGGCTTATAGCACATTTTATATCTCCAAATTACATACATGACTTGTTGTATTAGTTATTTGGTTATTTCCAGTGAAGTTGTCTCAGTTCATTCTTAGAGCTTTGCTGTGAACAGTCCTCACTGTCGTTGCCACCCAGAACAACTTTTTATACCAATCAGCCATAACATTATGACCACCGCCCTACTGTAATACTGTGTACATCAGAGTTAATGTGGCAGGTTGTTGGCACTCATGTTGCTCTGAGGCTCACAGTGCAAGTTGTGTGACTCTCTGAGCTTCTGTAGTTATACTGTCAGAAAGAAAATAAATTAGTCTATTATTTAGTGATAAAAATATGTAAAAGGAGTGAAAACTATGGTTGTGAGGACAAGTTAAGGATCATTTTTAGGCAAATTCAACAGCCTCAGATGTGATATCACCACTATAGCTGCTGAATGTTTCTCTTCATAGAGACCAGTGTAGAGTATTTCTCATTTTCAACCATTTTAACAAAGATTCAAAGAAAATGGAATCTTTTGAAAAGGATGAATGAAATTTAAAAGTTTAATCTACAGTTGGTCAAACTCATCATCAGTGAGCCTTGGGTGTCCATGACCCTGTTGCTGGTTCACTGTCAGTCCTTCCTTAGACACTGCTGATAGGTACTAACCACTGCAGACCAGGAACAAGACCTGCAGTGTGGGAGATGCTCTGACCCAGTCGTCAGCCATCACAGTTTGGCCCTTATCAAAGTCACTCAGATCTTTACGCTTGTCTGTTTGTCCTGCTTCCAACACATCAACTCCAAGGACCGAATGTTCATTTATAATGTTCACTGCCCAGTATACCCCACACACTGACAGGTGCCACTGTAATGAAATAATTAGTGTCATGCACTTTACCTGTCAGTGGTCATAATGTTATGGCCGATTGGTGTAGAAATGTTTAACTGTCAATGTTTATTGACAAACTATCCATTATTAACCAAGAATGATACTCTAAACTCCTTATGACACACTAGACAAATGTTTTTTCGAACCCCACTTCTCCAATCTTCTTGTCCTTTTCTATGTCTGTCTTCATTCCCCTCTTTCTCTTTTCTCCATTACTCTTGTGGCAGCACCATCCGTATGCATCATGATGAGCTCGGTGCCCCTCAGTTCATGATGTATTGGGGTATGGAGAGTGAACTCATCTCTGCTAAGGGATCCATTCAACTGTCACATCCTCCTGTGCTCCCCCACAGCCACCAATACAATAAGTTTGAATAATTTAGGTTTTGCGGGGAGAGATGTCCTAAGGTCCTGTCTTCTTATATTCACCTATCAGCTGGGTGACTGTGATGAGAAAAATTATAGCTTTTATGCATTATATTATATAGAAGAAGAAGTTAAGCAGAGTATTAGAACTGTGGGGGATTTTTATGAAAAATGAAAAAGTAAATGAACTGGCTTATTATCTTCTTGACCTGTGACCTCTTTAACTACATTAAGAAAGCATAATTTATGGCATCTGTCTGGAGCTTTCTCCTCTGTAAGCCATGGGCTTTCTGGCAGATGCACTGACCTGAGGTAGCACCATACAATGCTTCATAGAACACATATCTGAGGCTTATCCACATTTATGGTTCATTATCTCCACCAAGCTGACAGGAAGTCAAGCAGGACTCCTCTGCTAGTAATACAATATTGTGTTGATGAAGTAAATAGAAAAACAGACCAGACTTTGTGATACCATACCACTTCTCCCACCTTCAGACGGCAGTGCCAGATCCTGGGTTATCATGATGGTCTTCCCATTTATCAGCATTAGGATGCAGGTATAGTTTCCAGCTGTTTCAGAGGTGATGGGTAAAGATACAGTAGCAGTGATGCTGCCAGGTGTACTGTATGACACGAGCAGCTGGTGACTCTTATTCTGGTGTTCCCAATCAGCACTTCGGACTTGGGACACCTCTGTGTACAGGCACGTCAACGTCAGCTCTGAGGATGAACGCCTGGTTGTAACTGTGGATGTGATGCAGAGTAGTGAAGGGGAAGTGAGAGAGGGAGGATAAGGAAAGAAAAATATTAAAGAGAGATTACACAAATGAAGACAAACAAAATGAAGGATGAGGGAGTGAAAAGGACAGGCAGGAGGAAAGAGGAAGGAGTGAGACAGGATAAGAGTGTAAGTTAATGTGTAATGTGTGAATATAGAAAAGGGCAAGGACAGATAGAGAGTAATTGGGTCAAAGGAAAGTGATATGAAAAACAAAGACCAATTCAGAGAGGGGTCAAAATAATATATATTCATTAAAGTGATTTGGTGCTAATGCATTGGTTGACTGTGACTGATGCTTAGTGTCTCATCAAACTGAAATAAGAATCCATCTGAGTGTAATCAAGCTCCACAGACCCCCACACACGCATTAAAACGCACACATTTGAGCCTTGATTAGTGTGATCACTGTGAGCCACCTACAGCCTCGGTGGAAGGGCAGCAGGCATAATCATACATAATGATACTTATAATGAGGTAGGGTAAAAATATATGCGTCACATGATTGGTGTGTGGGTGGATGCGTATGTTTGTGTATGTGCGTAAATGCGAGATGCAGATGTGTGAAGCAGTGACAGTGACAATGACAGTGACGGATCGACTAGTCATGTCTGGGCAGCTGTGATGGATGCCATTGGAAGTGTGATCAGTAAAGCCTTCCAAGGCCGCTATGCCAGGGCACTGTACGTGTGTGTGTGTCGGGTTTTGTATGTGTGAATCTACTCTCCATGCGTCTGTAAATGGTGAAACCTCCCCAAGGCTCACTCATAAAAACCAACAGGTGCTCTGCTCAGTTTTTTAACTTTAAATTTATGATTCAAGAAAGTGTTCTTTTTCACAAGAAATACTGTCAGTGTATTATTTGATAATGTGACGTTTTACGAGTGACTGTGGGAAATGTTCTTTTTGCTTATCCTGCATAATTCCAAGGGGATGATTTGTGAGAACAGCGCACTGAGAGCTGGTAAGAATTCTGTGTCTTTCTCAAGGACACATCAACAGGGTAAATGATTGTCAAAATGCCTGTAGAAATATAGGTCCTCTGGCTGCAGGGGAGCCTCTCTCTTCACTGCCTGGTAGGCTACACAGTTTAGATTAAATAAATAGCATGACATTTTGAAAAATACTTTTCCCCCCTTCATGTGCAGAGTAAGATAAGAAGATCAATACCACTGTCATGTCTGGTTGCTGTGTATTGACCTGGAGCCAGTAGGTGATTATCGCAGCTTAACATAACTTAAAACACAGGGAATCGGTTAGCCTGACATTCTCTAATGTAAAAATACCTAATGGTAATTAAAATGTTATATATATCACTTGTTTAATCATAATAATTATTCAGAAACATAAATGTAAACACTGTGATTATAAGGGAAATTGTGCTGTAACTACTTCTTGGCAAACAACCAGCAAAGATGCTGCAGAGGTGTAACAGATGAACTGAGAAATTATTCCTGCACATAACTCCCCCGTAACCACAAACTGTTATTTTGCATGCATGTTTGACCTTCACACATATTAATGTTGTAATCTAACTATCAGCAAAACAGCAAATAAAAACAATTCCCTCAATATTAGAATATTACTTTAACTTTACCACAGACAAGTGACAAATTCCAATCAGCTCACTGAATGATTTCAAAAGGATATGAGTGAGTCACATTTTAGCCTTTGCATTCATCAGATGCCAATTCAGTTGAACACAGGCCTATAAAATATTTTATGATCAAAACACCAACTGATGGAAAAGCTTTTTGAAGAATGTTGTTCAATCCCCCCAGCAGCGTTTAAAAGACTTGGAGACTCCATGCCACAAAACATAAGGGGCTCCTGATGGCCCAAAGCTTTATGCTAGTTTTTCCTTGAACTTGTCACCTGTCTATTTCTTCTTCTTTCATTATGGTTACACTATTCACAAAATGTCATGTCATATAATGTAAACACACAAAATTCTAGTAAAACTAACAGAATTTGTCTTAAAAATCCATCTTCCACCTTTTCTTCCTTTCTGTCTCATCCTCCTGACACTGATCTCTACCTTTCAGTACGCTGAGTGTCGTCCTCTGGCTGAAGGCATTTTCATTAAGGAATACTTCACAGATGTAGACGCCGCCATCTTTGAGCTCAGGGATGAGTAGAAAGGAGAAGCTCCCAGCCTCTGCATTGTAAGGTGGGCCAGCCAGCTGGAGTTTTTTGCTTTGCTCAGGCAATGAGTGGGTCCTCCAGCGGTCATACTGATATACACGCTTTGTCTCATTCTGCCTCTTGGTGTCTGGGGGTTTCCAGTACAGCAGGACATAGTCCCCCGAGACATCAGGACAGGTCAGGAGGAAAGATGCGTGAGCCTGAATGGCTGTGGAGATCATATGGTCTGCAGACAAAGAGGGAAGAGGAAAAATAAACCAGAATGATAGACTAGATGAGACAGAGCATAAGTGAGGAAGACAGAAGGCAACTGCGGAAGAAGATATATCGAATTCGTAATAAGCTGACTGAAAAGTGAGATGAAGACAGAAGGCGTAAGCAGAATAGTAAAACAGTAGGAAATATTGATAGTGGAAAAATTCTACAACAACAGGGATTATGTACTAATTTGCTGAGAGTTACTTTTCCAGTTGGTTTTGGTTTCTGCTCTACTTGATTAGCAAACTGCTGACACAGGATTTTCAGTCTGCTTGTTTTACATCATCACTCACCATGTTTTATACTGACGATTGAGGCCACTTTGTTATCTGTGGAAAGAAGGGAAGCAAGGAAATGGGGGGGAAACAAATAGTGAATAATACATAAATGTAGCAACTCTAATATTCACAGAATGACTTGCTGAATTTTAGTGCAGATCTACAGTATACTTTGAATCTTGAAATTGATCTTTAAAAGTAAATACTTTGAAGAACTGGAGCTACAGGATGCTTAAATAAATAATGCTGGCCCTGATTTCCACTCCTACTACCAACAAAAGCTACACATGCATTGTATTCCTCAGTGCTTTTATGTTTCTCCTCCTCTAGTCAGTCTCACCATCAACAATTACATCCACAGGGAAGGTGAAAAATGAGCTGCTGCTGTTACCCCAAGGGTAAACCGTACAGACATAGATGCCATTGTCAATGTTCTGAAGCCGTGGCAGTTTAGCCACTGTGCCAGTGTTAGCTACAATCTCGCTCCTCATGGTAGTGCCACCAGGTGTTGCCCAGGTGATTTTTTCGCTGGCAATGCCAGGATCAACTCTGGCGATCAGCCGCAGGGTGCTGTACTGAGGAATGGGTGCAGCTGGGACGATGGTGACTGGAGATAGAAGGGAGGGCAGTGTTAACATACTCCATATGTACATGAGTAAATCACAGCTATGGGGAATATAAATGAAAATATTATACATATATTCAGGGTAAAAGTTGTGTAAAAATCTCACAGTTAACCTGTTGATTTTTCTACCTGTAAGGATAGCTAAGAGGATAATCCTCTCCTTCAGTTTCCTCTCTTGCTGCTTTATTGAGCACGAGTAGAAACCCCTGTCCTCCAGTTTGGGAAGAAATGACAGAGAAAAATCCCCAGTGTCCTGAAAGTTAGGGTGAGTCAAATGCATGGATTTTTTCCAGGCACTACCAGAGAACACCTTCCTTTCGTTGGCTGAAAGAACAAGTTTCCATTCATCTGCACCAAAAGACTTTACCATCCAGTTAATGGCAACAGTACCATTCACCCTTGTATCATTACAGACCAAGCTGGTAGGTATACCCTCCCTAGCCACCACAACATCGGCCCAGTCTGAGGGAGAGAGGACACAAAATTAAGAATTATAAAGGTGAATTATTCAGGCGTGTCTATAGGAGAGTCTTTAAATTCATAAAACAATCTCAGTGTAAAAGATGAAGGCCAAAATCTACATTGTATAAAAGAGTTCAGTTGAAGTTAATATGAGGCTTCAATAGTTGTCTGTCTCTATTTCCCTGGACAGCATTTTCTTGCTGAGCTGAGCCAGATGGCTAGTAAAGAAAGAAATTTGTATAATAAAGGATTTAACTCTGATCTGATTTATCTTACACAGCCTACTAAAACATTATTTTAGCTTCAAATGCATTTTACACAGAAGTATGTTAGATTTTGTCTTACAGTGAAATCATTTCAGCAAAGGCATCTCCTTGTAGCCACTACCAACAGGAGGAACAATTAACTCTTTCAATATACATAAATACTGTTTTAGGACAGAGTGTCTGATTAATGTATGAGTCATCATTTACCTAAGAAACAGATTAATTCATGTTTGTACTCTAAAAGCAACTTTATCTGGGAACTAAAAATAAGCAGTAAAAATAAGCTTCTAAAAATCATAGGAGCTTTACCTGTGGTGCCGCAGTGAGAGGAATATACCGCAAAGGAAGAAACAATAATAAATGTGAGAAAACTAGACTCCATCACACAAAAGAAAATAAAAAACCCCACACTGCACCAGCTGTCTCTCCAACGCTGTGACCTTTCTGAGTATACTCCAGAACACCAAGTATTGTTTGCTTTTCGGCAAAATTTCTAGCGTCCCTGACTGACATGTTAACAACTTTACTGCAAATCTTGCAGCCAGACAGGATGCAGCACAACTAACACTGGGATAATCAACAGGAAATGACTGTCATTTTTGCTGTCATATGTGTGTGGATGAGGCTGATAAACCACATATACTGGCATTATGATAAGCCATAAACCAAGTGTTGGCCTACAGTGTTTTACATCACGTTGGAGGAGAATTTCTGGGAAATTAGTTACAGAAATTCTGACCTTAACATTTGGCTTGACTAAAGGAACATGTACTCCTCTGTGTCACAGTGTGTATGTGAAATAAAGAAAATGAGAAGAACAGCAGAAAGCGAGGGATTTAGGGAGATGAAAAGCAAGAAATAAAGAGTTTGGGTTAGTGTGGGTGCACAGTAACCCCTAGGCTACATGTCTTTACATCCCATAAATGTCTTTAATTAAGCTAAAGGTATTTTCAGCTCCTCTGAGCACTATTACAGATTTTTCCATAATTACCATTGGGTGAATGGGGGCGGTGAAGAGAGATAGAGAAAGAGATGGAGAGAGAGAAAGAGGGAGAGAATGTACAGTAGACATGTACTGAGGGAGAAGTGTTCAGACAGAACGGGAAAACCCAAGGAGAGGCGAAGTGTGAGAGTGTTGCAGGGGAACAGTGAGACAGTGTGACTTCAAAGAAGCCTATGGTTGGTGACACACAGTGTGGTACTGATCCTGTGGCTTCTCCTCTCTGGGTAAATAATCACCATAAGCCCTGGCTCTGTCTAATGAATCTGCTGCCAACGAGCTATCTGTTAACTATGCACTTCATTATCACTACCACAGACCCCTGGAGAGCATGAGGATGGAGGACGGGGTGAATAGCAGCGCGGAGTAAAGGACGAGTGGACAAAGGAAACTGAATGACACGGGAAGAGGCAGAGAGGGAGGGAGGGGGAACGAGGAAGGAGATGCAAGTGAAGTGTAAAGGAAGGTGTAAAGGGTGTGAGGTGGTGAGAAAAAGAAGTGAGATACTGTACAAGTAAAGCGGGTGGTAGCTGGAAAGTGGTTGGTGTGAAGGGTGATTTTGTATGGGTATGAAAATGGATAAGCATAGGCTGAAAAAGGGATGGAGTCCTCTGTTTGGTGGCCATTTTCTTTAAACCTCCCTAGTTTACCATGAATGCATGTGAGTTAGCAGCGGCTGTATTGGTAGTCTCTGCTCACTTTCTCTGTGTTCAAGGATACAGCTACAGGGTCAAAGGATGGCTGCAAATTAAAATAAGGCAGTGCAAAGTACTGCATTTAAAGCTGTTTTGTTTGCAGGGGAGATGCTTTCATGGTCTTTGGATTTACAGTGCAAGCTGCATTGAAAAGAAAATGAAAACCCCCTGTCTGTTTGAAGACATATTTCATCTGTTAATTTGTTTTTCTGGCATGCCTAACATTGTTTGACCTCTGATCATTAACAGTTTTTTCAGCATCTGCACCTCTGAAATACAGTCTGGAGGTAAAAGGATGACACTGGAATCTGCTAATGGAACAGGATGGACAGAACCAAGCAGCACTGTTTAAACTGCGGCACTTATGGAGATGTAATTACATTGGCTGTAAAACACTCGGGTATAGGGATTAGACCTAAACCAGCAAAAAGCCTTGATTGTATGCACTGCTTCAGAGGAAAAGAGGGCAAAATGAATTGGAAGTTATTCTGTAGAAAGATAAACATTTACATCAACAGTCTGCTGGAATGTGGTTATAGATATATGAGAAGCTGTTTCCTCTTGATTTGATTTTGCTGACTGCCACTAGATTTTTTTTTGATTCATTAATGAATGGTTATTGATTTTGACATTTGCTGTGGTGGAGTTTGAGTAAACCTCAGGTCTATGCGCATAAACAAACAGCAGAGGGCGGAAGAATCATTTGTTTCCGCGCACCTCGCCACCCATCCAAGCTGACTTGAACTGGAGAAATTGTGTAGTAACTTTATATCGTGTTTTTTCTAGCTTGAATTTCGATTTTCTGTAGAAAACATTTACAATAATACTAGTAATTTATTTCAGGCATTTAGAGCAATACTGGGTGTTGATTGAAAGGAGCTGGCACATCTCAGCTGTTTGATCTTGAAAAATACATCAGCTAATCGTAATTCTCTGGACATGAATCAGACTTTAGGTCATTTGTGTTTTCAACACCCGGACTGAAAAAATCGTCAAAGCGAAACCTGGTGAGCACTTTAGATGGCATCGAGGTGTAAATTGTGTTTTCAGAGATAAAGGCTTCTGGTGAGTTCAACAAGTTGTTTGTAGAGCCTCCTGCCGTCGTCGGTCCTAATTGGTTTTCGGGACCAGGGCTGTGACGCCTCTCAGCCTGATGACATCATCCAGTCAGTCCCACAGTGGAGCCACTCGGAGGAACTAGTTGGTGGAGTACAGAGAGCGCACTAGTACTTCATTACATCTGGAGCACCAGCGGGGGGGAACTGTTCACCTGTGCGCCCCCAGGACGAACTCTCAAGGATTTTCATACATTTTTAGCAGACTCTGTCTTAAAGGCGCGGTGAGGGACACTTACACAAGAATCTCTGTCGGTCCTTTGGTCTGTCCTGTAACCAGACAAGAGGTTTTTCCCACCCTGAATGAGTGAGATTTTACATCGAAAGTGACTGGCGTCTGGAGCAGCGGTGTCAGTTTCACACTTATTTCGGAGAGACTGCGTGCCTGGTTTCATAAAGAGGATCGTAATTAACCATGGCGAGACATGACGCCCGAAATTGGCATGACTTCACAGAAATGATCGGACTGCTCTGTTTGGTCTCATCGATACTTATACAACATGGTAAGAAATGATCCACTTGTTTAAAAGAAAACTTACTTTCTTGCCAACAGAACATTGGCATTTCATTTTTTTATCAAAGCTTCCTATTTTAAGGAGAGTCGGTTAAAGCTGACTTCCACCTGTCAGGGCGGTAGGAATCAGGCAGGTGACTTCCTCGCTCGTTGTGCTGACGAGATTTCAGCTTTAAGATAACACCTTTGGTGATACTCTTTGAAATGAGATAAACGACCTCTTTCTATATTCTGTCGTCAGGTGTTTTCCATCATATACCAGTTGTATATCGCTCTTTAACTCGAGTTTCGGTGATGACTCAACGCCATGTTTAGTTTACTAAGGTGTGGCTCTGTGAAGCAAGGTGTTTCCCTCAGGTACCTGCCCCTGGCCTTCATAGTTGGTTCCTCTGTTTCATCAGTCTTTGGTGCGCTTTCCCCTGAACCCTGCCGTCCCCTCCTCAGCGGCCTCTCGCTCCTCTTCTTCCCTCTGTCCGCACATCACCATTTATTAGTTACAGTTCAGCTGAAAGAAAAGGCTCTGGCTCAGGAAAAGGCTCTTAATGTAGGCAAAGGAACAGCGGTGGGGGGGACCAACTGAAACTTAATCATTTGCACTGAAGACGAATAGTTTAATCTATGCTGGTTTTCTTATAAAAGCTTGCACAGCTTTCTTTCAGTGAACCACTCCCTTAGGCCTGCATTGTTTGGTCATTTGTTGCTATTACTTTAAACAAGGCAGTGTGCCACTCCTGCCTCCTTGGCAACTGGTTAGGTGAATAATGGAGGTATTTTCCATCCCAGTTGAACTCGGGTAGTCTTTAGGCACACACAGGCCCAAAATGAAAGAAAACCTGCTGCCCCATATAATTAACCTACGAATCCATATTTGAGTGTGTGCAATGTGACACCAGTCCAGTATTTTCTTTGCTTCCAAACTATACCAGCCATTTGTTTTGTGCTGTAATTGGGGCAAGAATGTAGGCCTAGATCTAACGACCTGGCATTGCTACAGTATACATGTTCAGTAGTGTACAGTAATGTAGTCGATTATGGACCCGTTATAATAACAAGTCATGAGCATAGCCGCTCTTAACTTATTCATGCTGTGGATGTTTTTTGTGCAGGTTCATTTTACAGAGCATGATGTGCTTTTAGGAGATGGGGAAAAGTGGGGGGGAACAAAACATTTTACATATGTATGAGGAGGAAAACACCAGACTTAACCAAGACAAGCAAAAGCACTGCTTTTAGTTTTCTTTCATACAAGTATTTTTCCCACAATGAAACTCTGACCTCCTTCTGACTAATATTTAAGGTATGCAACTGAAACTGCATCTGCTGCTGCAAAGAAACCATAACCTGTCTACTGTGCATTTTTAGTTCCCTGTTCCCACTCATTCCTTGACAGGAACTGCTTGCCTCCATCTTCCATCCTGTGTCTGGGAGAAGAGGTGATTTCATTCTCTGCAAAGTTTTCAGTTTATTATTGCCTAACTTTGATGTATACATCCAATATTGAGTTTAATGGATTTTTAATTAAGGTTGGAATCTGTAGTTAAATGCTTTTATAAAATTTAATATAACCCGGCAGGTGGGGGTCTAGTTTAATCTCTGAAATTACACAACATTGCCACCCCCAAGTCGGGTGAGGGACCACGGATGTGGGTCAGAAAGGCTTGGCCCATTACCGTGGAGATGCTTTTATTGGACAAAGGTTGAGATTATGTGGGGGCTGGGGGGTGTCTGAGGCTATGGCAGCATTGTCTTTATGGCTGAGTAAGCTGCATGCGTGCAGGGGGTGACTGGCTGCTTGAGAAACTGGTGGGCATGCAGGGTCAGGATCAGGGGAGGAGGGAGCTTCCTTCTCTGCTCACAAATAAACCGGTGGCTTCCTTTGTGTTACCTAAAGGCATCCAGCAAAGCTACTTCAGATGCAGAGCTCCTCAGTTTGGAGGAAACAGGTGGCTATTCAGTGGCATGCTGCACTGCGCGGGATTGTGGCTGAGTTTCAGGATTGGCTGGAAAACTAAACGGGCAGCAACTGATTGTGACAGGCGACGCTGCACCTCCCCCCCCATCTTTCCCACTCGCCACTTCAAACCTCCCTCTCTCCCGCCAGCCCTCGCTCCCTCCCCCACCTCTGCTGTCAAGTACACACAGGGGCCTTGTTCTTGTCTTGTTTTATGTCCAGATATGTTCCATTTTGTCCTGTCCACTGCATTTGTTTGAGTGATGGTAGTAAATGGTTATTCAAAAGGCTTTCCTCCCCTGTCTCCCTGCCTCTCTTTGGACTCAGGGTCACGCTGTTTCTGACAAGAACAGCATGCAGACACACAGAAACACACACCACACGACCTTACCGTGTCAACATGGCTGTAGGATTTCTCATCAGTCAGGGCTTATATGGGCCCTGCTGAATTTATTGGCCACAGTAATACCAACAAATGCTGTTATGACTAGTGAAAATGCTGGAAATCTTCACCCCTACAAACACACACACACATACACAATCAACGACACTGATATAGTGATGTTTCTTTTGGCGCTCCTACTTGTGCAACAACTCAGGCTATTAGTTCTAAGTATTTTCTTCCACATGGATATATCTTGTGAGAACAGTGTAGTCCTGCCAAGCCTGGGACCATTTGTCATTACAACAGAGAAAGAGCATTAAACTCCTGTCTATTAAGAAGAATGTAATTGATGGATCGCAAGAGGAGTTTATTTTTTCCCTAATAAAAGAAGGAAGAAAGTATGCCCTTAGTATCTCATTAGTCCCTGTGGAGCGAGGGCCTTTGCTCTTAGTGTGGTCTTTGTGTTAATGGCAGTCACAGTTAGCTCCTGTCATTATGTAAATGAGCTGTCCTCGCCCCTTCGCACCGGCCTGGTAAATGTCAGAAGGATTTTGAAAAGGTCAGGTGTGCATGTGTCTCTATGTGTGTAGGAAAGCATCGTCCTGGCTGTGATACGCACTAGTACATCCATGCACTTACTAAGCATCCTTCCTGTTTAAATAAGACCCACCCCAAAAACCATTTCTAATCACCATTAAGAGTTTGTTGGTTTCTTACATAACAGTGTGGCTGGAATTTAGGGCTTAATGGAAATGGGAGAGTGTGATACTGTGCCTGTGTCTGAATGGATAGTGAGTAACAGTGTGGCCAAATTAATTTTGTATGACTGAAACAAATATATAGTATTTCACTGAATGAGCCTAATTATTTAGACAGCTTTCTATTATTTCCCCAGGTAGGCTACGCAATTTGGAAAAAAGCGATTTCAGCTCAGTGGCAATATTTAATTCGCTGCCTAGAAATGAAGTATCTGTTATCCAATAAAGCAGAAATGAATGGAAAGCTTTTTAATAGATGCATTAAACATTGTAGCAGGAGGCACTTTACATTAAAAATAAAAATGACACGGAAGCTAAATTGATTTAAAATCATGTTGATCATCAATATCTACTGGGTTTCAGATACACAAATATTTTGATAAATGAGTTTCAGTGAAATTACTTTGCACTGGAGACTTTTTATTACTGACGACCAGAAACCCTGATTTATTGTTGACTTTGCAACCGTTATTAGACAGGACGGATGAATCTGAAGGGAGAGGGAGGTCAGTGAGCACAAATCATTGCATCTTGTTGTATTTTAGGCACAAACACAAATGAGTACACACATACAGCTGGTGATGAATAAGTGCAGTAACCTGAAGCTGCTCTGTAAGTCGGATGACATTCCAATAATAGGGAGGAGCCGTCACCAGGCTGGATGACTGTGCATCTGTGCGTTACTTTTTCCTTCAGGAAGTGATGTGTATCATCCTCACCAGCAACACTATTATCTTCCACAGACATCAGATCAGAGGACATCCTTTTCTCTTGCTTCCTGCTCATTTAACTGCCTCTCTTTATGGGTGCTTTTCCTGCAACTTGTAAGTAATGATAGTGGCTTTCCTGTGAGGGTTCTGTGATGGCTCCATGTTGTACACCACCCTCCCCCATGCCCTCCGCCTAAGTACATGCTGGGTGGATGGTGGCCCTGTGTTGAGGTCACATTGAGCCCCCCGCAGGGATGTTTGTATCTGGCTCCTAGGGTTGCCAGACTGCTGGAGTCAGTTCTATCTGATCCAAGAGAAAATGAGCAGAAATCCTCCTCTTAGAAGGAATGCCAAATGTCATTAATATGAATAGGGCAGCTGAGGGGCTTCCAAAAACACTACTGCGCTGGGGTCGATGAAATTCTTGGCAGAGGTGTTGGGTTAAACTGTTATCTACATCAAATTTGCGTGCATTAGCTCAAACACAGTTCACTGAATGAGACCATTCCATAATGTACTCTAACCACCCACATGTTTCTAGATAATGGAGAGTTTTAAGACTGTACTATTTGCTGGCGTAGCAAACCAGCAGCTTATCTCACATAAAAATGCTAAAAGGTAGGCGGGTTTCTTTATTTTTCAGCCACACACACATTTCCACTCCATTAGTCAAGATACCTTCTGCCAAACCTGCATTTTCCTGTCTAACAAACCCCAGATGCAAATTAGACAGATGCAGGTCAAGCCCATTCTAGCTCAGCCAATGTAGAGAATGAGCAGTGATTCCAATTGAAGATCCACTGTGTTGTACCCCGTACTTTTTACCATTGCTAACTCTGAGAGACGAGACAGTCCAAGTAACTTCAAAACAGTGCTGATTTATTCCATGAATACAGGTAAAATTAACATTACACGCTCAGGCATCTTGCACCTCCAAACTGCTCGCAGGCAGATGTAAGATGAAAGACCCCGAACCAAACCAGGCCTATACATTATATCCCCTCGGTTGGGCTAGCCCCATACTACACAGAAACGTCAACCGAGACGTCTCTGTTACCAGCTTTGCAGCTGGTCATAGCAGTAGTCAAAACATGAAGCAAATCAATGTGTGTGTGTATGTTGGTTAAGTGGTGTGTAACTAAAAACATTCTCATATCCTTGACCAGATGTACCCTGTAGAAACTC